AGTCCGACACCAGGTTAGTCGAGATTTGCGGGTGATGCCCTGCCCGAGCTCCCGGGGCCTTCAAGATGTCCCTGCCGAGCGATGCCGAGGGGGCCACACGAGAGCACTAAAGGTGGCGCCCAGGTCATCCTTGATCATCGCTGCAAGTTGCCTGGCGGCTTGCGCAAGCCACTTGAAGGCATCCGTGCTCAGGCCGAACGCTGTCAGCGAGAAATCGTCGAGGTAAAATCGAAGAAGATGGCCGAGTTGAGGGGGGTACTTCTGATGAGAACTTGGAAGCAATAGCTCCTGACATAAACAAATACGATCAGCCTGCCACAATGCTACGAACAACTTACAAAGCCTTGGAAGCTGCTCGCTTGTTTCCTACAAACCTCGCAGAGCCATGCGCGGCCATATGGAACTGCAACAAAATATGGCTGAACCTGGCTCGCGCAAACTGCTCGTGAAACGAAACCAGGTCCCACAAGAGGCCCACTGCAGCCTCGCCAGAGGCCTGTGAAGCTACGCCCCTGACGCTGCGCCCACAGACAACGTCTATCGGGGATCTTCCAGGCCCACAACTGAACCGAGGGTGGTCGAACTCTCCCATCCAAGATCGCGCGCGAGGAATCCTGATTTTCCCAGAGACCCAATAGAACATACTAAAGATCTCAATGGTGCGGTACCCTTGGGAGGCCTTGGGCAACCAAGCCATGAGAAACCATTGAATCTTGGGGGTAACTCTCCAAGACGCCCAGATATTCCCCATAAGTGAAAAATGAACACCTGCACCCCCATGTCGGCCATTCACGAGAGGCGTCTACAGTGAAATCAATCCAGGCTGACGGCTTACCTGCGCGGCGGCATCTGATGGAAGCGGCAAAGCTGGCTGCGCAACTCCTGTGCGATGATGAGGCCCGGCAGTCGCTTCCAAGAGCTTGTCAGATTTCCTATTGCACTCGCTGAGGAAGCCCTGGGCACAGCTGGATCGAGCTCCTTCAAAAACGAAGACCTCTGGTTACCATTTGACTTGTTCCATGCGAAAGCGACGGGCTGGGCCCGCCCCTTTTTTTTTCAAAGATTTGGCGACCCAGCCCTGCCAACTTTCGCGGTGTTTTTTTTTTTGTGGGAACCGGCAATGACGGATCCGGCATGGCCTGCCACCAGGCCAAACTCCTGCTCTAACTCGAAAGCGATGTCGCCCCGATTCCTCGGGTCGAGGCCAGAGTCAGATGTCAAAAACGCGAGAACCTGCCGAGTCAGATCCTGGATGGTACGACACGATTCGCTAGTACTCGTGTGCTCCAGCACGCGACGTGGCTCGGCGGCGGCAAACGTACGGCATCACAGAAAAGGTACCGCGCTTGATCTGCAATCACCCCCTGACTGGAGGTAGACGATGACGCGCCCAGCAGCTGCGACAATCGCCTGATGCTAGATGCAAGTCAAGCTGGAGCCTGAGCAACCGCAGCAAAGCACATGTGACTTGCAACTCGCTGACGAAGAGGGGCGAGACCTGGTTTCGGCAACGGATCCGGAACTCCAGGTTTGGTTAGTTTCGACCTGGTCCTGTCCGCCACCTCCACCCTCAGCCCTCTGGCCCCAATGCTTGTGTGCAACGCCCAGGAGCCCCCCGCTACTCCTGTGAGTTTGTGAGCCCCCGATTGCCCTTGAAGCAAACCCGTCAGCGCGACATGCGAGTCTCCAGTCTCGCTCTCTTCATCAGGCAGCTCGCGCGGCAGGGCGGGCGCCGCGTCGAACTGCAATATACGAACCTGATTCATACTGGCTGGCCGCCCAATGCGCACAGGAAGGCGCGGCCCAGCACGCCAATCAAAGTCGGCCGCGACAGAGGTGACCAACTTAGCCAACCCAGACTCCCTTCGACTTGCCTTTGCCCAACAGTGGGGGGGGGGGGGGGGCTCTGGAACCAAGATCTGGGCCCCCCAGCGCCTCTGCGAACCCAGAAGAAGCCATGGACTCACGCGGTATATTGAAACCGCCCCCAAAGATATACTGCGTCTTCGATGCTGTACAGTGCGTGACAACCTGCTCCAAGACTTCCAAGTTCGTGATAAAAAGGCCTTCGTAGACTTTCCCATGGGCCGAAGCGCGCAGATTACATGGCGCCCTGGGAATTCTACCGCGCGCGGCCAAGCCCCCTCTCCCGAAAGAAAATGCCCTCGGGGGGAAGGGGGGGGGGGGGGGTCGGGGGGCGCCTCGAGATCATATGCCCCTAGAGTAGCTTTCGCAAAGATGGCCACTCCAGACCGAGCGCCTTCATCTCAAAGGTCGTTCTGACTAGAGTGAGACGCGCCAGTAGGGCCGACGAAACTCGGAGCTCAGAACGACTTCCAACCATGGTTCAACGCCCAGGCCGAAGCGGTCCACAGGGGCTCCTCAAGAAGCTTGATTTCTTGAGCGAGCGAAGCTGCGACCGAAGCGGTGTCCTGAAGTTCCCATAGTCTCTGCTTGATGGCGCCCCAGGATGAGCCGTCAAAGTCCCCGCCAGCAGAGCGCCCCCACCGACGCCGAGCTCACAGTCAAACTGGCTATGGTCGAAATCAAAATCGCCGTCAGCGAACTCGGGCCCGGAAGGCTGACATCGCTCTGGTGCTCTGTGCTAGATGAGTCTCCGTCCGCGCCTGGCTCGCACAGCCCTGCGGGCGCTCTGAACGAATGTTGCCCGTCAGTGCTGCGTCCACGTGCTTCCGCAGCTGCGTCAGATGCCGCGGAAACTCCTGAGCCTTTTCATCCAGCGCCACGTGGTGACCGAGATCCACGATATGTGTCCTCCTGTGCTGGGGAAGATCCGTTACCTTGACCTGGGCGATGGCCGCCTTGTGCTCTTCCCACTCAGCGCGTTTCTCACCTGAGATGAAAGCCTCCAGTGCCTCAAGCTGCTTCTTCGCGATGTTGGGCTCCGCTGGCTGGTGACTCCCCTCTTCCATCGCTGCGTCCTCACGCTGGGCTGCCTCCTCAAACTTCGAAGTCAACTGCTGCGCTGCCGTGACCAACTCCGAGAAGTGGCTGTCCTGGGGGGCCTTGGCTGCGAGCGACTCCAGCGAAACCTTGAAACACATAATATCACCAAGGTGCGCCCGTGCCGTAGATGCCCATGTCTGGGACTGCTGATCCTGCTCGGGTTTGAACTGCTTCTCTGCCTCCTCGGGGCGCTGCTGCAGCTGCTGTCCACGATCGCGCATCGTTTCAAGAAGCTTCTCCATCTGGCCAAAGAAATTGGTGTTCTCAAGCAACTGCTTGCGCAACTTTGTCCGTAGCGCGTTTGGCTCGGATATTGGCATGCTGAACTTGATTGTGGTGGGGCAGGTTGACCGCGGCCTGCTCCTTGAGCTGCGCAAGCTTTTGCCAGGATGCCACCGCGCTCTGCTCGTGACCAGGAAACCAACTCTTCGGTGGCTGAGCTGGCCGAGGAGATGTACTTCCCGAGAGATTCGATCTGGCTGTGGAGCTGATTTGAAGCAACAGTGTTGCTGCTTGTCATCATCTGCATCTCATCATCAGTCGGTTTGGGTCGGCTTGGGACGCTGTTGCCCCAATATCTGTTTTGGCAATGCTTGAAGAGGTCCGACGGTCCAGCGCCAGCTCCTGCTCCATTTGACTGCGATGATGCTTGTCCAGCTTCCGATTGGTCATGTCCTTGACATGCCTTTGGAGGCCAACCATTTGGCGGCTGAAAGTTGGCTCCACAATACACCTAACTGCCTGCGTCCAGATACACCTAACTGCGAGAACAATTCTGGCAAGCAGTCCAACGCCGCGGCTTGCCGCTCGCCATGACTGCGGGTTGCTTAAGACAGAATTGGGAATCGTGGATGTGTGCCCCTGCGGCTGCAATGCAGCTCGAGGGGGTGGGAATGACGACGGCCCCCTGGCCTGGGAGCGGCCACCTGGGGGGGCTTTCAGAAACTGGTCCCTAAACCACCTCGAGGACATGGTGTACTTGAGCCAAAATGACTACGGACTGATGGGCTGGTGGAATACTTTTTTGATCCGCGGCCCGCAAGGAAGAGTCCAGAGGGCGTGTCAATCGGGCCTGATGGGGATACTTGTTGATTCGCGGCCCGCAAGGAGAAGTCCAGAGGGCGGTATGACCGAGGCTGGGGCGCAACGACAGATAATTGGCGCGAGACCGCGCAGAGTGCACCTGCGCACAAATTAGAAAGAGAGGCGGCCACAATTGGGCTACCAACGCGCACAGGCCAACCCGCAGGTGGGATCGAACCGAAGCCCTGCCGAAGGCACGCAGACCCAGGCAAAAGCCGCTGAGCGTGTGCCAGCAGAAGAGGGCAACCACGACTGGGCAGGTGGAAACCAGGCCGGACCCGCAGGTGGAGTACCGACCAGCAACCGGAAAGGGGGGGGGCAGGGGGGCGCGAGCGAAGAAAAAGAGCGCAACCGTGGAGGAAACGCGGCGGATCCACTCACGTGGCACCCAGTGCGTGAACGTCAGCGCGGACGCCGGCCACGCACCAAGCCACCGATGGGGGTCAGGCCAGTGGGCATACGTCACGAACTGGTGAAGCAAAAGGTAGGGCCTTCAGCCAGTGCCCCTGCATCACGGCCTGGTGGGGATACGCGAAGCGTCTAGAATTCTTCACCCTGGATCCGTCTGTCACGGTCCCAAGGCTCGAAAACGGTCCCCGGACGGCCGACAAAGGTATGAACAAACCTTCCCGAGCCCAGAGCCTCGAACCTGCCCGCCCTTCCTGCCTCCAGGAACGAGTACTGGGCCACCTCAGACCCCCGAGCGGCTCCAACCCTAACCGTGCCTCTGCAGGAGAGCCCAGAATAGAATCGAGGAGTCGGATCGGCGATCGAGATGCATCGGATCGGCGGAAATCGGCAGCCGAGTCGGGAGACGTCGACTCGGCGGACATCGGTCGGCAGGCTGGTGGGCCTCCATTGAGGCATCGGAGCCCGAACCGGGATCCGAAATCGGATCGAATCGGCGGGATCGACACGATCCCTGCCCCTGCAGGAGGTGAGGCGAGCGCCGGCGCCGCCGGCGCCAGCTCGCGACCCGCCGGCGCGGCAGCGGGCGCGCGGCGAGGCCGCCAGCAGCAGCGCGGCGGCGCCGCAGGCCCGGAGCGGCATCCTGCGGAGGCGGAGAAGCCGCGCGCGAGCGTTCGCCGCCCTGCGCGGAGGGCAGGCGTGCACCGCCACCGTGCCTGGCCAGGCTCCGGAAAGTGGGAGCGGCCGATTTAGGGATGACCTTCGGCCTCAGGGGGCCCTTTGTTGTCGGGGGCGCGCAAACATGGATTAACGATCCACGGATGTGGCGCCCGGTTCCGCCTCGGTCGGCGGAAATCTGCGATTTCCCATGGAAACGGGACCCGTCGCTAATCCACGCCCCCTTAATCCATGTTTGCGATCGCCTGATAATGGCGGCGCGCAGAGGGGGTCAGGGGGAGGGGGGAAAGCTTCTCAGAAGGAGGCTGCTTCTTAGAAGGCGCGGGCCTTACATCTACAGACAAGGCCCGCGCCTTCTAGGGCGCAGGGGTGCTTCCAAGAAACCTTTCTCCCTTCCTCTACCCCAATGCGCGTGGCCGACTGTACGAGCCCCAGGACCGTACAAAAAACGACTCGGGATGAAAAGCTGGCCCTGGAGGAAAATGGTCCAGGCCTCCAGGGGTCCGCCGGATGTCTGGGGTCAGGGCCGTGCGCTGAATGTCTGGGGTCAGGGCCGTGCGCAGACCGTCCTGGTCCTGGCCGGGAGGGCGTCTGCACCATGCCAGGGTCCGGGGAGGGCCCTGGCCAGACCCTGGTGGTGGTGCATGGCTGCCTTGTGTGGACGCTACACTCGTCGTGCGACATCATCAGGAACGCCGAACAAGAAGGGAAGAATGCGAGTGTCCCCCGACCTAACCCTCTGAGAAGCGCCCCGAAACCCCGAGGGCCTCCTGAGCCCAAGGGAGGCCCTATTTCAGCGTCTTGGCTGTAGTCCCCTCCCCACTCCTGTTGGAACTCGAGCAAAGCAAGTCGGCATCACCACCACCGTCACAATCGCGAGGAGCCAGGGATCGGGGGCGCGCAAACATGGATCAACGATCCATGGATTTGGCGCGCGGTCGCCAAATCCATGGATCGGGGGAGGTGCCCTCCCCAAAATGCAGCCAATGCCGCCCCGTTCGGCGGCGGAAATCTGCGATTTCCGCCCAGAACGCTCTGGAAAGATCTGGGAGCATTCCAGAACGCTGTGGAGCGACCTATCCCTGTCTTTGGCCTGCCCCACTGCCCCTTGGGGTGGGGGCGAGGGCACAGGAGGTGGGATGAGGGGAGGGGGCGCAGAGGAAGTGAGGCAGACTAGGTACTGGGTGCGCTCGCGCCATTTCTGACATCCTGACTTCCCACCCATGCCTTGCCATTACGCTGCTGTTTCTCTGTCCGCCGACGGGTGTCGTAGTGGACCTCGGCCCTCCTTAAGGACACGATTGCGATATGCGCAACCAGGAAAAGGGAGCTGTGCACATTGGAGGAGAAGGTGGGAGACGAGGATGAGGAAGGATGAGGACGAGGAAGGAGGGGGACGATGACGAACAGCAGCAGCAGGAACAGGAGTGGGAGAACTGACATTTGCCTCACAAGGTCTCGCATCTCAAATTCGCCGACCATGTCGGCGTGTGGAAGAGGCTGTTCCGTTTGACTCGTCGTCGTCGTCGTCGTCGCCTTCGTCGTCGTCGTCGTAAACGCCCAGGGCCGTTTAATAAACGCCAATTGTCCCGTCCGGGGGGGTTTTCCTCCCTTGATGGTTGGTAACGGAAACGGTGGGAGGTCGACATGTTGCCCGATCTGTGATGCGACGCGCGCTGGCGCACTCTGCGCGCGACGCGAACGTGGCGCACCTGTTGCGATTTGAGCACGTGGCGCCCTGGGCGCACGTGGAGGACGTGGCGCATCCGACGCACCAGGCGCGCCTGTCACGCTTGGGCCACTTCCTCCCCCGTCCTTCGCCCCCATCCTTCTCCCCCATCCTTCTCCTGCTCCTCATCATCCCACCGTGCTCTCCTCCTCCTCCTCCTCCTTCTCCCCCTCCTTCTTCTTCCTGTTGTGTCCCCGAATTTCTTCGGAGGTCCGCTCCAGGAGTTCTCGAGGCCCCTCGATCCCTCCTGAGGTTCTCTCTCCCTCTTCGTTCCTGCGCCCGTGCCATCCGCCCTCGCCCACCCGGGGAAGAGAGGCAGCACTGCAGCCCATTTGGGGCTCCATGATGTTGCTCGCACAAGAGGAAAGAGTTCCTCCCTCTTGCCCTTTCCTGATCCCAGCCCACCGTGTTCTTGACTGAGAGACAATGGTAAGCGGAGCTGGTGTCGAGGGGCAGACGGGAGGGCCAGACCCTGGTGCGACGGACGAGCGAGACGACGAAGAGCGAGTTAGAGACCAGCCGACCCAGACCGGAGACTGGGATCCAGCGAGCTGGCACGGAGAGCTTCCATGGTGGCACTGGGGTTGGTGGCCATCCTCGTGGAGCTTTCGCGACTGGTACGCTGATGGCGGGGTAGACTGGGACCAGAGTGAGCAGCGTCACTCGTGGGAAGGTCCTGGGAGTAGTCATGCCGACGTCAGTCGCGACTTCGGCGCCCCGCCCGCCTGGCTAGGCTACGAGCACCTGGACTTGTACAGCGCCAACCTGAAGTCATGGGCGGCGCGCACGCAAGTCTGAGGTGCGGGCTGGCAAGGTGCTCGAGACTCTGCCAGTCGACATCCAGGCTAAGCTCAAGCTGGTCAGGTCGTCACTGAGTACTTCCGAGGGGATCGAGAAGCTTCTCGATCATCTCGCCGTATTGAACGGCGAGAGACCAGGCGACTAGCAGCGCGAGGCCCAGAACTTCGCCCTCTTTGACTACGCACTGCGCCGTGGGGAGTCGCTCACGGACTTCGTGCTGAGGAGGGATGCCCAGGTCTCGGAGGCAGAGGCTCACGGGCTGACGCTTCCCGACGACATCAAATCACGATTCCTAGAGGAGGGAGCGAACCTCAGCCCCCAGAATAAGATCAACCTTCGCACGCTCGCCAACGGGCGCCGCGACTTCCAGTCCATCAGGCAGGGCATCCTTCTCCTGGACGTGCGAGCAAAAGGAGTTCTGCCCTCTTCTTCGACCTCAGGGGCGAACCAGAAGAGCTACGCGGCGGAGCTGCAGGACTCTGAGGAGATCCACCCTGGGCCTCCATCTCCCTGCGACGGCGCAGCTACGTATTACGATGATGTGGATGATTCGTTCGAGCTGCCCGAGGAGGACACATTGATCTTTCTCAAAGCGCTGGACTCACAGGAGTTGGACGAGAATGACCTCATGCCGGTGCTGGCGGCGGTCATGGAGGAAAAGTGGGGAAAAGAAAAGAGGCGCACCTGGGCCGAGGCCCGGAAGATGAAGGCTAATCGTCGAGTGGATCGTGACTTCTTCGACCGGCGACGCTCATCACAACCAGGTCTCCGTCGTATCACGTCCGCCGACCTGAAGAAGAAGAAGAAGAATAATAATAATAATAAGAAGAATAAGAAGAAGAAGAAGACGAGGTGCGCCAACTGCGGCGAGAAAGGACACTGGGCTGAGAACTGCAAGAAGCCGTACCGATCCAAGCAGGATAGACTCAATGAGGAAAAAGGCTCTACTGCCGCTACGAAGGGCTCGAGTTCGACCCACTGGGCCGGCTTCTAGTTTTCCAACAGCCTGGACCAGCCATCCTACGGGACTGCCTTTCGAGGCGCGGTCGACCCGCACAGCTTCGAGACCTCATGGGCGTCCTTCTCCATCGAGTTCTGGACTGGGATCGTGAAGAGCGGCCCCGACACTGCGGCGATTACTTTGAAGAACATGCAGGACCGCGCCTTGGTAGATACCGCAGCGGGCCAGGCGCTCATCGGCCGCCCCGACGTACTGATACTGAAGAAGGCGATGAGGAGCAAGGGATTCCACGTTCACATCGACTGGACCCCGCTGAAGGCAAGGCGGCCTCTGGGATAAGAGGCCGAACCACCCCAATCGGTCGCTGCTGGGTACCGTGTTCCCTGGCGGGATGCGGGTACATCGAGTTCTACACGAGTTCTACGTTCTAGAGCAGCAGTGCCCCCCTCTGCTTCCGGCACGGCTGCTGGAGATGATCTGCGTCAGCATCGACCTGCAGGACAATCGAATGACGGTAAACGACGATGGCAATCTGGTGGATCGTGTTCTTTTGAGGCATCCGTCCGGTCACAGGTCGGTATCCCTGGTCCACCGCAGCCCGGAGCAGTTCCACGTCTCCGACTCGGTGAAGGTCGGGCTTCCGAGGGAGTGCTTCGACACGCCGAGCTCTAGCGATCCGATTAAGGACCGCGGGGACAGTGAGGGGGTGGGCCGCAGCTTTGTCGCTCAGTTCTCTCTCCCCCACTTCGGCCTCTCGGGGGGGTCTGTGGGCTCTGAGGACTCTCGGATGAGGGTGTTCGGGGAAAGTATGGACAGCGGGTCCGTAGCCAATTTCTCTCGAGAAGGCTTCGATCACCAACCCGAGGGACCCAGCTGGGTCGATGAGCTCTAGAAAGCCAGGAGTCATGAAGGCGAAGAAAGGAACCCCCATGCGAGCCCGAGCTCGGTCCCTCGGTGCAATAGTGGAGTCGGACAGCGAGATGGAGAGCGACCACTCATGGGAGAAACTGCCCGAGGTTCGGGAGATGCTCGCTCAGGAGGCCATGTCCGAGCAAGAGATCATGGACTTTCTGGAGGGCAAGATGAAGCTCCCTGCCGTACATCAACGGTGGCGCCACCTGGTGCTGAAGGTCATGAGTATCGAGATGGTCACCCGCGCCATGCAGCAGGTGGCTCGGCGGATGCCGTCGAGCTTCACGGAGTCCTTCCAGAAGTCGGAGTGTCCTCACCCGCCCTGGGCGGTGAGGCACGGCTCCAATGCGACCAGCGTCTACGCCCACTGCACGCAGTGCTCGGATCGTCTTTTCTTGCGGAACAAGACGGCTCACAAGATCTTCGAGGCCCAGAAGAAGAGGGAGGATCGCGAGTCGGCCAAGCGAGACCGTCAGGGGCAGAAGGAGCTCGCCAAGAAGATGATGGAGAACTACCGGAATGCTCCGAAGGCTTCGATGCCATATCCTCCGAATCCCTGGATGGGATCTGCTGTCTCCTGCCGCTCGGCGGTACCTTCCAGCTCAGGGAGGCAAGGCGGCTTCGATATCGGCCTCTCCAGTTCCGCCCGTCCCTCACAATCTCTACGTGCTCGAGGAGGAGGGCTACGTCAAGTACAAGAGTCCGCCTCCGAGCTCACCCGCGGAGACATCGGAGAGCAAGGAGCTCAAGAAGGCCCCTCCAGGATCGCGCCCCATGACGGTGACGGAGATGCAGACGGACGGCTCTCTCGGACATGAAGTACGTGGTGGACTCCCAGAAGACCCAGAACGAGCATATGTGGAAGACGGTACAGGACTTCATCCAGCAGGGCATCAACCTGAACCACGACCTGGTCCAGCAGGGCACCAACATGACTCACGATGTCCAGCAGAGGTCGTCGCAGACCAGCCTCAGCGAGACCGACACGCAGCGATTGGCGGCGGTGATCGCGACCGGCACGAAGGCATCAGCCGCCAGCTCGAGCTGAGGAAGAGTTCGGGGGGCTCCAGCAGGCGCGTCGGCGACGCGCTGACCCTCGAGCAGATCGAAGCTCCGAGGAGGCCAGGCGAGGAGACTCCGGTCCCTTCTCACTTCTTCTCTCGGGACTCCAGGGCTTATCACGTCCGGGAGGCTTCCAGGAATACCTTTGGGACAAGCAAGGTCCGGGCGATCTGGGATTCCAGGTCGCGGCAGCGCCTTGACTCCTCTCTCCTGGCCGGAAGCACCTCCTGGACGCCTTTCGAGATGGCGAGGCCGGAGTCCTCGTCGTTCTTTGTTGCCCCTGCGATAAGACAAGCCGGGGGGGAGCCCCCCCGATCCCTCCTTCCCTCGGGGGCCCGGTGGATCGAAATCAAATCGAAAGACAACCGAGTTTTCTGGAGCGCTACTTGGGCGGGCTCCACCCCCTCTGACTTGGGAGCGGCCCTCCAGCGTGCTCGAGGCTTGGGGGATCCCAAGGTCACTGTGTGGTATGACACGTCTAAGGTAGCCGACGGGGGAAGAGAAAGCCGTGAGGAGAGGAGCGAGGACAGCAAAGAAGGTGGAGGAGAAGAGGAGGTCGGCGCCTCGGAGCACCCCCTTAAGTATGTCATCAAGGACCGCTTCGCGGCAACCGCCCTAGATGGTGGTCCCTGCGACCCTGGCCCGGGAGTCCTGGAAGGTTCGGGCCTCAGATCGGGCCGCAGACTAGGGCGTCGAGAACTTCAGCGATCAGAGCGACTCCGAGGCGGCACTACAGTCATGGAAGTCTTCTCCCCTCCTCGCGTTTCGGATCGCATGTCTAAGCTGGGCTATCGGGTGTCTCCTGCGTTTGATGTCCTAGTCGGGAAGGATCTTAACTCACCGTCCGTTCGGAGGGATCTCTGGAGGCAGATAGCGGAGGACCACCCCCTCGTCGTGATAATGAGCCTGGTCTGTAAGGCCTTTAGTATTGCGAGAGTCCCCTTTTGGCACGCGATGGATCGGGAAAGGCTGGTTTCGGAGGAACAACGAGGCTTGGAATACATGAAGCTGTGTGAGCTCATTGCCCGTCATCAGGTGTCCGAGGGCCGTTATTTCCTGTCTGAAAAAGCAGAACGGGCCAGTTCGCTCGAGTTGGATGGGATCCGGGACCTTCTGGAAACTCCTGGGATACTGTCGGCGGTGACCGACCAGTGAGAGTTCGGGCTCTCAGTTTCCCCCGGGGGCGAGCTGTCTCGAAAGAGGACAGTGCTGATCTCGAACTCCCAATCTCTCCTTTCCCCCTGTGTTCGCTCCTGCTCTCGCTCCCACCCCCATCTTCCCTCGGCGGGGGGCCACAGGACCTCTCGAGCTGAACGGTCTCCTCCACAGCTGATCGAGGCTATGGTGGCCGGCACTGGGAATGCTGCCTGGCTGTATCACCACGCGGCGCTCTGCCACCCTCCGGATAGTGATTCCGAATTCGACCTTCCCTCCTTTCCCGCGGACCTGGGACCCGGGGATCCCGAGGAGGACTCGGACGAGGACGTCCCTGAGACGATCGCTCCAAAGACTCGTCGGCCCCGAGAAGGCCTCTCGCGAGGTCGAGCTCGACATCGCTCTCCAGAAGGAAGTAGAACTGCTGCATGTGAATCTCGGCCATCCGAGTCGCAGCGACTTCCTCCGTACCCTCCGCGTGGCACGAGCCCGAGAGGATGTGCTGACGTGGGTCAGAGATCATTTCCGGTGTTCAGCTTGTGAGAGCCACGCTAAGCCGTCGTGGAGAAGGCATGCCCACCTGCCCATGACTTATGAGTTCAATCGGGTCGTCGCCGTCGATCTCTTCTACGTCGAAGTCAACGGGAACAGCACCCCGGTGCTTAACATGATAGATCACGGTAGTTCGTTTCAGCAGGCTTGCCTTCTTCCCAACGACACAGCTAAGGCTACCTGGAAGGCCTTCATGCAGTAGTGGGTGCGCCGTTCGGGCTTCCCGAGATTGTGGTATGTGACGGAGGAGGGGAGTTTGAGAGGGAGTTTGGGAGAGGATGGGAGCATAGTGGGATCTTTTTACAGGTCGTCCCAGCGAACTCACCCCACTGGAACGGAAAGTGCGAGCGCCACGGCGGAATTTTGAAAGACGTTATGTCGAAGGCCTCCCTGGCCCTCAACCCCGCTTCCGCTGAGGAGGGTGAGCTCATTATATGCGAGTGTGTGGCGGCGAAGAACAGGACGTTCCATCGAGGAGGATACAGCCCCACACAGCTAGTCTTCGGATGCAATCCCCGGGTGCCCCGTTCTCTCCTTAGCGATGACCCCCTTGGCTTAGTGGGATGTGAAGACGTCCTGCGCGAGGGCCCTGACGCCGACTCGGCCGCCGCCGAGTTCTCCCGGCGCCACAGGATTCGCGAGGAGGCCCGCAAGGCACTGGCCAGTATGGAGGCCAAATCCCGACTGTCCGAGGCTGCTCGAGCCCGAAGACACAGCGACCGTCACTTCAAGCCTGGGGAGTGGGTGTATGTGTGGAGAAGGGTGACCGGGTCCAATAGGACCCATTCCCTCCAACGGGACCGCTGGACAGGACCCGGGATCGTCGTCCACCAGACCGGAAGCACTGTCTGGGTCGCCATAAGAACGCGACTCTTGAAATGTTCTGAGGAGCAGGTCAGGGCCGCGACACGACAGGAGTCTCTTGGGGCGGAGTTACTGGATCACGAAAGATTCGATGCCTTAAGAGAACAAATTAGGTCCCCCGGGAAACGTGTTGGAGCCGTGGATGTGGCCTCCGAGGGGCCTCCTCCTCCTCCTGAGGCCTGGGACGGGCCCGAGCGGGAGAGGCCGGACCCCGGAGAACCCGGACACCGGAGTCTGGACTCCGTGAACGATTCCCCGGGAGCCGCCCAAAGGGTCTCTTCCACCTTTCATCCTTCTGAATCTGTCCCTCCGACCGCTCCCCCTTCTCAAGCCCCTACTTCGTCCGCTTCCGCGACCGGAGGCTCTGAAGCTAGAGGATCGGTGGCATCGGCCTCGGATGCAGCTTTGCCAGAGTCCAGATCTAGTGCGGTCGAGCCCGACCCGAGATCCATGACAGACCTAGGCCAGACCGTTCGTCGAGCTGAGCTTGACTTCGCTCGAGATGTGCGCCCTCGTTTAACCCCAGCTGAGGAGCTGGAACCGAACGGCCGCGTCGCTCAGATGATACATGAAAGAGAACTGCCCCCTGGACCGGTTCTTCCCCTTTCCGGAACTAGACCCCTGGGGGTCAGGGATCTCTCTCTTCCGAGGGCCCGTCGTGCGGTGTCTGAGCCCTACCCGATTCCCCCCCGAGTGAGGATTGAACCCCCCCTGGAATCATCACCTCCGGGACTTACGTTGGAGCCTCCTGAGGCTCCCGATGAGCAAGACGCGAGCCTGCTTGCCGAGCTGGAGGCTTGGTTCCTTGCTACTGGTGTGCCTGACTACTTAGGTCTTTGCTACTATGCGGCTGAGCACTTCACTGGCGTGGCTGGTACTGTGGGTCCGGTGAAGCCTCGCGGAGCTATGTGGAAGAACCTGAGCTCCCAGGAGCGTCAAAGGTTTTACGAGTCCGATGCGGCCGAGTGGGAAGCCATCGTGAAGTCTGGGGCCGTCCGGGTGCTTTCTCCCGAGGAATCCAGGATGGTTCGTCGCAGGTTTCCCGATCGAATTCTTTCTTCCAGGATGGTTCGTCGTCTGAAACCTCAAGAAGGGGTGGGAGCTCCCCCGAAGGCCAAGAGTAGGTGGTGCGTTCACGGTCACCAGGACCCGGACTCCGAGTCATTGTCAGTTTACGCCCCCACCCCCCAATCGGAGTCAATAATGGTGGTTCTCCAGATGATCGCCTCTCTGAGATGGCGGCTACAGGTAGCCGATGCTAAAAACGCCTTCTGTCAAAGTAACAAACTGGAGAGGCCCAATGGGGCCATTTTCGTGGAACCGTGTCAAGGCCTCGAGCTCGAGAACTCGCAGCTGATAGAACTCGTTGCCCCGGTTTACGGGCTTAATGACGCTCCGATTTTGTGGCACCGAACTTTTACGAACTGGCTGGCTACTCAGGGCTTCGTCAAGAGCCTGCTCGAGCCTTGCCTCTGGCGTAAGCGCGATTCTCTCGGCAAGTTAGAGGCTCTTACCCTGATAGAGGTTGACGATCTGATCATCGCCGGAGAGGATGAGACGGATGCTAGTCTCAAGAAATCTATGTGCCAGCGCTTTGAGTTTGGTAAGTGGAAAGAGCTTGAGTCTGAATATGTGGGCAGACGTCTGATTCAGCTAGGAGATCGTATTACGGTGGACTAAGAAAAGTACATTCGTGAACAGCTTTCCAGTGTACACCTTGACCGTTCACGCCGTAGTGAGCCCGAGTTTTTGTTGACGTTTGAAGAGATTGCGGCATACAGGACTGTAGCCGCTCAAGTGCAGTGGCTCGCCAGGGGAAGTCGGCCTGACGTCGCCGGCAACGCCTCTCTTCTGGCTGCCGCTCTCCCAGCTCCCAGGGTGTCGGATGCAATGATCCTAGCGCGTGTCTGTAAGTATCTCAAGGGTTCGTGTGAACAGAAGATCACGATCTGGGCTCTCGACCCCCTCTCTGTGTGTTTTGTCACCGCGAGTGACTACTCGGGCGGTCCGGGGACCGCACGGAGAGGTGGCGCTCAGGCCGGCTGGCTGGTCATGGCCGCCGACGGATCGATCCGAGAGAATCGCAGGGCCAGGGCGAGTGTACTCTCCTGGAGATCCCAGCGTATCAAGAGAGCGGTCGCCAGTACGGTGGCGCCTCAGACTCTGGCGCTCTCGGCCGCGACGGCCGAGGCTCAGTGGGTGCAAGTTTTGTGGCGTGATTCTGTTTTTGGTGACGTTCCTCGCCCCGATTGGTTCTCGGGACAGGCGCCGTTTTCAGTGGTGCTCTCACGAGAGTGCCAGCTTTGCGAGGCGGCCGCAAGCCTGGCGGTCGTGGACGCTAAGTCCGTGTTTGACACGCTGTCCCGCAATTCCACAGGATCAAGGGCCGATCGTCGCAATGCCATCGAGCTGGCCGTAACCAGAGATTCCTTATCCTCGCTCGGCTCCCAAGTGCGCTGGATGCCTCACGGGAAAATGCTGGCCGATCCACTCACGAAGATCGAGCCGTCAAAGGGAAATCTTGCATTGCATGATCTCCTCTGCAGGGGGACCCTCTCCCTCGTTGATGAGGGAGGTCATCTTGACGAGAGGTCTCTCAACCTCAGCCTGAAAAGTCGTTCCCGAGGCGCTTCCCGAAGGTTACTGGAAGAAACTACTAAGGTGGAAGTTCGTCCCAGAGACACTTCAGAGAAGAAGGGTGAGGAGGAGTAGGAAGAGCTGAGGGAGGACCTGAAGGGGACGGAGGAGAAGAGGATGCAGGAGGAAGCTGGAGGAAGCAATCCCACGGCGAGGAGGCATAAGAAAGGGGAGCCCGCCTATGTGGAGATCGAGGTTGGCGCGGGCTTAGGTCCGCGAGAGTCGGGCCCGCTGTCCCCGAATTTCTTCGGAGGTCCGCTCCAGGAGTTCTCGAGGCCCCTCGATCCCTCCTGAGGTTCTCTCTCCCTCTTCGTCCCTGCGCCCGTGCAATCCGCCCTCGCCCACCCGAGGAAGAGAGGCAGCACTGCAGCCCATTTTGGGCTCCATGATGTTGTTCGCACAAGAGGAAAGAGTTCCTCCCTCTTGCCCTTTCCTGATCCCAGCCCACCGTGTTTTTGATTGAGAGACACCTTATCCTTCCAACTGGAGTGCACCAGAAATTGAGTGGGAATGCCCTGCGTCAAACCAATCATCCTTCTGCTCACGTTCATCCTCCTCCTCCTCCTCCTTCTCCTCCTCTTCATCGTCCCGCGTCCTCCTCATCCTTCTCCTCCGCCTGATCTATTCCCTCATTCGAAAGGGCCGCGAACACATATATGGTTCAGTCGTGGGTCTACGCAGCCTGATCCAGGACTTCGGTTTGGGGGATTCCCCTCTCCTTGTTCCACTGCCTGCTCCTGCACTTCCCTGATGAACGCAACTCGCCTAGGCATCGTTGCTGGGTGATCTGGTGGGAATGCGCGAAACGACAAGAGCTCGAAACACATGTGACGCGCGCAATTGGTTAGCACTATGATCACATACTTTCTCCCATCCAGCATGCTGGACCAATGCTAAGTTGTAGAATTAACTTCCAGTCAGAAGTCAGGTACTGTCCACGATCTGCTTTGCATCTACTTCGCGCGCACGGAAGACCACAATTGGGGAGCCTTCCAGAGAAACTAGGACCAAGAGCCAAGTCGGCTCAAGAGGGGCAAACTACCAGCCCAGGAGCACTGATCAGTTGACGCTACCTTCTGGAATAAACATCTTTCTCCACGATTACTCCACGATGGCCCAAGATGCCCCACGATGGCTATAACGAGGCCTCCATAAATCGCCCGATGGCCCAATATGGACTCACATAACTCAAGTAGGGCTGCCGATAGCCTCCAGACTAACTCCAATACTAGGGCAAGATGGCTTGACCATGGTCCTGGAACGTATCAAGGATATGCCCGAGAGGAGCATATCATGTACACATGTGCTTCCAAATATTCCCCCCCTCCGCCGCGCACAGCGTGCACTGCAGGGTCTTGGCTGCGCTCTGTGGAGCTGGATCTGGCGTTGGGGTCCAGCCGTGGGTGCTTAGCCTCCTACGAACTTCGATGGCCTGGCCGTGGGCGCTTGGCCTCCCATGAACTTTTATGGCCTTGCCTCCCACGATTGAGCAAGGACCGGCCGTCCCAGCATTCCTATAGGCCTACCACGGAATTGTTTTAGAACCCAGCACGTTCTAAACACAAGAACATTGCAAATAACATAAGCCCGATGTGTTAAAACAATACAGTCTCAGATAGTCTCAACCAGAAATGTTCTAAGAACATTTCGTGCAGATCACAAAAGGTCCTTAGAACATCCTTTGGTGGGCCCTGAGGCGAGCTGGGACGCTTCGCCACTGCTTGACACGTTTTCCTTGTGGCTTCCCTCTCAAATGGCGCTGCGTGTCCGGGTCGAGCCGTGAGTGCTTGGCCTCCCGTGGCCTCTCTCATCCCGTACAGCCTCCGATGGCCTCCTGCCCTGAAGGCCCCTGGCTATCGTGGTCGGGCAGTGGGCGCTTGGGCTTCCTGCAGCCCCACCTCCCACGGCCACTCTGGCCCTGGGCGCCGAGGCTCGAGCAGAAGGCAACGGGCCTCCTCCGGCTTCCTGTGGCTTCCCCGTGACTTCTCGCCCCGCCGACCCTGGGTGCCAAGGCTGGGCCGCGGGCACTTGACCTCGCGTGACCTCCTGTGGCTTGTCCTCGTGTGGCCTTCCATGGCTTCCAGCCCCAATTCGGCGACTCCGAAGAGTGTGGTTTGCAAAGGATGTAGCTTGCAACCGGCACCCTGGAGGGCACCTGGGGGCGGGCTGAGACCTCGTCAGAGCTATCCGCCGCGCCCCGAGGAGGCCCGACGAGGACAGCGTCATGCTCCCCCAGGCTCCAACGGAGCCGATCGCGCAGGAGGAGGAGGAGGAGGAGGAGGAGGAAGAGGAGGAGGCGGCGGAAAAGGCGAAGGAGGAGGAGGAGGAGGAGGAGGGGGAGGGGGGGAGGAGGAGGAGGAAACATACCCTCTGCAGTCGCCGACCAGTGGCCATATGCGGGCCACACTGTCTCCCTGTGGCCGCTCGGCCTCCTCCTATCAGACATCTCGTGGCTCGGCCTATCGGTGGCCTCCTGCGGCTCTTCTGGCCCTCCTCCTCCTCCTCCTCCACCTCCTCCTCTCCTCCACCCTCCTCTCCTCCTCCTCCTCCACCCCCTCCTCCTCCTATTCATCCTCCTCCCCCTCTTTTCTCCATCCCTGCTTCTCAGAGGCAGCCCCTCCCATGTCGCACCCCGAGACACGCTGATAGGGCGGGCCAGGCTTTTCGCCTAAGACTCCCCCATCATGTATGAGTACAGTGGAGGCCAGTCCTCAAAAAACCTTCGCAATAAACCCAACCCTGAGACCCCAGGACGTCCGTTGGTTTTTGGCGTGGGAACGTCACGCTTTCCACAGCACAGCCATCGAAATCCGAGAAAACCAGGGCACCCTGGAGGCAAGCAGGGTGCTTCTTGGAATGGGTCTCCACTGTACAGGTTGGCCTCCCATGGCCTCGTTTGACTTGGCACACCTGGTTGCCACACTGGTAGCAGGCGCTGGCCCCAAGAAGGGCCCAACAAGCTCCAACTGGCCCAAGACAACACTCGGAGAGCCACCAGAGCAGAGCATACGAAAATGCAGATTAATGCCGCTGGAAATTCCAAAGAAGACAGAGCCTCCAACTTTGGCAAACATTTGCCCCTGATTGTCATCCAAGAGCTGTTCTGTTTCATGTCTCCCGTGGGGCCGTCTCGAGCACTATGAGGATGTATAATGGAGCCATGTGTGCTGTTTCCTCCGAGAGCGATGAGATAATTAACCATTGAGCGAACACATCCGCGCAAGAGGCACGGAGCAAGGCGCGGCACTAGCTCATGTCGTTGCCGACGCCTCGCAGCGGATGAGACTCTATGATGTCAGGAGCAGTGACGTTGCCGGGAACACCCCGGCAGGAAAGCGGATCCACGGAGCTCCGTCTCATGTGCGAAGGTATTGGCGGAGCTGTGGAACCTCAGCCGCCTTGGCCCCACTACCCCATGTCCCCCGTGCAGCACGATGTGACTCCTGCAAGCCGTGACGGGACCGAGGGAGAAACTGGCACAGCTTCCCACCACCCGCGGGCCGACATGACAAGAGGGGAGGAGGAAAAGGAGGACAGGGGAGCAGGAGAAGGAAAAGGAGGAACAGGAGGAGGAACGAGAAGCGGAAACTGATGCGAAAGGGTGCCGGTACTTCACGAGCTGTGTCGGCTACTCAACGGGGCGCAGGGTTGGGCGCTTGCACCCTCCTTCGCTGGTCAGCCTGGTCACGAGCCAGCAAGCTTACCATTCGATTTGCCAGCAGCGGCGGCCTTCCCCACCCTGGCGGCACGGCGACGCTCTGAGCTGGCGCCCCCGTGCTCACCGAGGGCAGACGATGTGCCCGCGCGGCGCGCCCGGCTGCGGGCGCAGTTCCAGTGGGCACGGCGTGAAGAGGTACGCGGAGAGGGACGGGGAAGGAGGAAGCAGGAGGAGGAAGGAGGAGAGCGGGAAGAGGAGGGAGAGCGCGCTGGGGAGGGGGGAGGAGGAAGGGGAGGCAGGAGGAAGGAGATGGTCCGGGGAAGGAGGAAGGAAAAGGGAGGGAAGGAGGAGAGGGAGAAGAGGAAGGAAAAGGAGGGAAGGGAAAAGGAAGAAGAAGAGGAAGAGGAGGAAGGGGAGCGCGCTGAAGAAGGAAGGCGTCCGAGGGGAGCTGGAAGGACGGAGCGAGAGCAAGCCACGCCGCGCGGGGCCGATCGCCGAGCGTGAGCATGGTCCAGACGGGCGCACGACTTGGGCAACTGCTGGTACCAGGGAGCACGGCTGGCCCAACGCCAGACTTGTTGGTGGCTTCGACTGGCCAGATCACTCGTGGGCCAGCTCGTGGGTTCACGATGGGGGGGGCGACCAGCCTTGACAGCGGTGCGTCCGAATAGCCTTCCCTGGGAATATCTCCGAATTTACCATCCGATCTGATATTGTTCTTGCCTGTATGGGCCACTGGGTGAGGATATCTTGCGGTCAACGCGCGATGCGTCAAAGTCAAATTGCGATCAAGTGTTAAAAATTAGCATGGGCGGGCGTGGACGGCACGCGAGCGCACGCATATCCACACCGAATCCAACTTGTCAGCCTCATCTGCACGCTCACTCTTTGCTGCGCGCGCGGACATGAGGAAATAACTGCAACATCGATGAATAAATTCCCATCCCCTTCATGAGCAGGAGACGACCGTCCCAGCAGTCTTCGAGGCCTACCACGACATGTTCATAGAACCCCGCAGTGTTCGAAACACAAATACAACGTTCTTTGAAACGAAACCCGGTGTAGTAAATCAGCAATGTTCTACGAACATTTCGCGCAAACCACAAAAGGTTCTTAGACAATTCTTTGGCGGGTCTACAAGCGAGCATGGGCGCTTCGCCACTGCTTGACATCATACCCCCCTGGGTGGGATAACTACCGATCTACATCCCCATCTGCAGGCGACAGGCCCGTGCCGTTGGGAACCCTGGCCCACTGCGGATGGGGAGGCGCGTGGAGCTCGGAAGGTGGGCGAGGGCTGGCACATCCGTGGCTGCTAAAACTGTCTTCCCGGAAAAGAGCACACATTCCCGGAACAAAACTCAGCGCACTAAACAATAAACGGGCTGCTTCCCGGAAAAACAAAACAATGTCCCGGAGTTCTTGGGAGGCTGATTTGTGTTGTCTCTTCTTCTCGCCTGGGCCGCCGCTGGCACCTCGATTTTCGAGACGTCCCCAGCAACAACAAAAGATAACGGAGGAGGGGGGGGGGGGGGCGGCGTCGGAGGGGGCCGTGCAAAACCGAAAAGCCAAGGAGAGGAGGCGAAGTACGAGGAATTCGTTTCGAATCGCCGATCGATTCGGGAGTCCTGGGGTCCAGATTTTTGTCGACCATTCGGCTTTGCCGCGAGAGTCTGATGGAGCGGACCGCCCCACGACGCTAAAGCGCTGGCCCGCCAGGTCACCCCCGAACCTGTAGCGCTGGGAAAGTAGAACACTCGCAGCACCCGAGGAAGCTCGACTAAGAAAGAAGTTGAGGCGAGGATTTCTCGAGATAAGTTCTTCGGCCGGCAGCCCCTAAAAGGCCTGCGGCCTGATATCAGATCAGGCCATCCAACCTTTCGGGGACCGCCGAAGCCGAAACATTGTCTAGATGTCTTGTTTTAGGTTCTAGGGGGAACGGAACGCGCTAGATGCAGCTGATGGGGGGCCGTGCGGAAAAACGCTATTTCGACAGGTGTGCGTTCTGGGCGCGCACGCCCCCCCCCCCCCATCAGCTTAAGACGAGGAGGAGGAGGACGAGCAGGAGGAGGAGGAAGAAGAGGAGGGAGGAGGAGGAGGAGGAGGAGGAGGAGGAGAAAGGGTAGGGAGGGTGCAGGCGCAGGCACCTCTCCCAACTCGTCAGCCGTCTTGCTGACCGAAGTTGCCGCCTTCGCTGCCATCCGGGCCTTCGCTTTCTCCAACCTGGCGTGTTCTTTCCTCTCGGCCTGCGTGTTCAAATGCGTCATCTCATCTGGGAGTGGGCTCCGGGTGAGCTCGTACGTCCACTCTTGTGGTTCAGCTGGCTCTGGCTTCGGACCCTCAGCAGATGTATCCACCTGCCACTGTTTCTCCACCCGCTGCTTGAAAGCTGGGTTAATCTCTAGAGTGATGATGTCCAGCTGGATGTCGTGATCCTACCAGTGCACTTTGATGGGCGTCCTCTTTGGGATGAGCACGGGGGTGTCCTCGCTGTTCAACGGTAAGAGTTTGACAGACCACGCCAGTAATTTGTCAATCGGGAGCATGCTGATATTGATGGCCGACTTGGGAAACGAGCCTGAATCGTAGAAAGGCTTGGCGCCTGGAACCGCAGATCTAGCACAACACTCGCCCCTGAATGGCCAGGTGAAACGGCGCATCCCACTGGAACGACTGGTCGATGAACAGCATGAGCTTGAACTTGACCCCCCCCGGGTCCCTGGCCTTCCTCCTGACGGGGTCCACGCCCTGATGTGGCAGGTCAGCGGCCAAGATGGCCGCAGCAGATCTCGCAGACAAACTGAGGAACTTGTAGGTTTCATCTTCGAGCTCCAATGACGTGGCATCCACCCTGGGGCAAGGCTCGGGCTCTCAAATTTTCAACGCGTATCTTACTTGTCGCCCCTATCTCAAATTTGATACCTCCAGGGCCGCATTCCGCGACACGTTGTTTGACCTTGGCGCGGACTTCCTCGCCTAACCCCGCCCAACTCAAAATAAGTTGTGTCTCGCCAGGCCCCTCGACGCCATGGTATGGCGTTGTTGTGTTTGTCCAACGACTCCTCCTTGACAAGTTTCTATGGGTGCTTGAGTTTGTAGCCTTCTCAAAATCAGTTTCACAAGATCCACCTTCCGAGCGCTGCTTTTGGAAGTCAACTTCATTTGTGCGCACTGAACTTTCAATGAATCAAGGCGCGTGGCATTGCGCCCCTTCCCGAGAGATCCCAATCCCAGGTAAAACCCCTCATTGCGCTCCTCGGCGCGATTGGCAACTCATCGATCTTGTCAGCTGGCGGAGCCGCTAGTTGCGGCCCCGCAGCCAGCGCGGCGGCTTCCATCATGTTAGGCACGTAGGGGGCCCATGACGCAACGTCGCATCATGCATAATCGCAATTGTACCACTCTGGTCATGCGTGAGTCTTTCCAGCAAATGACGTCGGCGGTGGCTTCACCAGCGCCCTCTCCAACTCCTGCGGGGGGGTCCTCCCCTCCCCTCCCCCCCCCCCCCTCGCCCTCCTTTCCACCTCCCACTCCCTCCTCCCTCCGACCCCCCCTCCCTCCCCCTCCTCCTCCTGGCGCGCAGGCAGTCGAGTCCCTGCGCGTTCTGGGAAAAGCATAGAGCAGAGAGACAGGACAGGGCAAATAACACGAGATGAACGATGCAGCGCAAGCAGACAGCAAGGCAAAGCAGGTGAGTGCAGGGCCGAAAGGAAAGGGGCGGGGCCTTGACGCCGCATTTGACGCTGCTGGCCCCCGCCCCTCTCCTTCCCTGCCGGCGGCGGGGCGCGCGCGCGCACCCCGGCGCGCGCTCTACCCCCGCGGCGACGCGCGGAAACCGCACCCCCCCCCCCCCGACTGTGCGTAATGCCCCGAAGGAAGAAAAACAATGGACCTTCAAAGCGACACCTGGGAGGGCCATTATACAAAGTACGAACGGGGGCTCTGAAGGAAAAGGGCCCCCGGGCCTCGGAGGGGGTGGGCGGGGGCGGGGTCAGGGGCTGAAAAGAGCCTGGTCCACCACTCCTGCGAACCATCCCCCACCAAGGGCCAGTGGGCTGAAATCGTATAGAGCTTGGGCCACGGGAGGCGCCGCCTCCGCAAGGCTGAAACCTGCGCTTTCAAAATATTGTCGCACCTCTCTAGTAGCCCTGCTGGCTTGCTAGTGGCAGATCTGCCATCTATTACAGAATGCAACAGCCGGACCTGTCTGGTCAACTCTTGCCGCCGACAGCTTATGGGTTGTGGACTCGCTGCCGGCGATCTCAACGTGGGGGGCAGGGCGGCGCAGCCTCCGCGGGGCTTGGCAGACTTAAATGACCTAGCACATTTCAAGCATCCCCGCGCGTGCCCAGACCACCTCAAGGTGTGCGGGTTGGGGGCGGGCTTGCCCGCAGCTGGTCCACGGGCCCTGGGAGTTTTGGCCAGGGCCCCAAAAAGGACCTTGGGCCGCGGAAACAGAGACAACATTCTGGCCATCGCACGGGCCACCGATTTGACGAGAGCGACATTCTCCTGAACGGCGAGGGCCACGTTTAAATCGACTTGATTTAGCCGCGCGCCCTCCTTTGCAGCCTCATCAGCTGCAGCGTTGCCTTTAAGACAAAACCTATCACCCAAGGCCTGGTCGGGGGCTAAGCTCAAATGCGCCTTCACTTTTCGAATTATCCACGGCTCAGTGACAGTCCGAATGCGCCTCCAGTGCTCGGCAGCCGTCCCGCTGCCGTCGATCGCCTTCCGAAAGTTACTTTGGAAGAAGAGGGGCGAGGCGCAATCCGCGTACAGCAAACGTGTTCGCGCGCGACCAGGGGCTAGGTGATCAAGTGTATGCAGTAACGCATGGTGTTCTGGGATACACGGTGGGGAGTGTCCCAATGATTTGCTTGATTACATCTCCGTCGTTGTCAGCAATAATCACCGCCCAACCTCCCCGTGCGAGACTCTTGACGGAGGGATGGAAGACGGATCCGTCAATGAAGATGTGGCCCTCCCCCTCGTGGATCCTGAAAGGCTCGATTGGGTTCCCAGCGGCATCTAAGTACTGCGGGGCCTCAAGGCCCCAGCGCTTTTCCTGCACGGGGGCCTCGAGCCTCAGGCGGGAGTACAGCGGGTCCTCCTCTCCAGCCTCAACAGCTGCCTGGAGCGGATCGCTATCTATGTTCTCCTCGCGTTCCTCCGAAAACTGTGGGCAAATCCACGCACGATGGTATATAGTGTCCAGGCCTGGCAGTGCGGGCACACAGGGTTGACCTGGTATCGCCAACGGTGCAGCTTGGTCCCACACGGATAACCGTTCGTAAAAAACCCAAACGCAAGCATTGCTTATACGAAATAGACCACTTGGTACCACAATATAGGGCCCTCAGGGGGTCCGCCCAGACGCCCTGGTCACGGATTTTCTGAGCCCTGGGATGGTTTGACTCCTGGAGCAGTCCCTGGACTGAGGCACTCAAAAGCTCCTGCTTGAGGTCCTCGACAAAATACTTCCTGACCAGGCACGGCGAAAGTTCAGTTAAACTGACGGGTGATCCGTCACGCAGAATAAATAAGCCTCCATTCTCAAAATTCCAGCCTGCAGCATTCACCCACAGGTTGGCGCCATGCAGGGGCTCCAGGGCCGCGGGCGCCCAGGTTGGCTTCGAGCTTCTCGAGGCTGCCGGTACATCATCAGCCGCTTGCCGAAAAGCTCGCGCTAGAGTGCCCACCGACAATCCATCAGCTGGGGCAGGGGTTGCGTCAGCCATCGCCCACCACTCCTGGCAATACCTGCGCAATGTTGCAGCTGCATGCTTGATCGGGTCCTTGTGGGGAGCCTCTAGAGCCCAGGCCAGATTGATATTTACACCTTGCCCAAGAAGCCCAAGAGCTTGTCCCCCCTCCCTTCGCAACTTAGTAATGCACTGCGGCGTGTGGCCAGTGACCTCCTCGCCGTGCGTGACCGCTGGCAGCTGGCCACAGAAGGAGATCTTGGCCCTCTGCGCTCGTCGTTCGGGCTGAAGGTTTTGAATTCGCAGCTGGCGACGCTTGGCCT